TATTGTGCAAGTTATTCATTGAGCCAGTAAATCACAGAAACCACTCTTACAAAGATTTGACTGTGTATTGAAGTCAGCTATTACATAAAAGCCCAAATAAGTGACCTCAGAATAGTAGAAGCTCAAAAAACTGCAACCTGAGAGTATAAAAAAACTAAACTGACTTTTAAGAAAATCTCAGTTCCACTTATTATAAGCAGACTTAGCAACAATGCTTGATAAATTTGTTAAAATTTGTATACTGTAGTGCAAAACTATAAATTAAACTTATGTTCAGGTAGTGCATTTATATCCAGTATCACTTTCAGTCTTAAAGAGAAATTGATACACAGTTGAATGATAAGTTTCTGACTTACTACAGTTGTACTCAGTGTCTATGAAATCTTTCAGGTCTATTAAAGTAGTGGGTGCATCATAGTAAATGAGACTTTAATTATAGTAGGTGGCCCTATAGCCAAATATTAACAAGGGTAACATCTGATAACCATGCTGATTATGTGTGTGGAAAGTATATGCGGATTACTTGATCCTTAAAAGCATGTCTAACAATGACTTGACATTTCATATAGTGTTGGATGGAGCCCCATCCTGTATGAGGGCTTTTTCATTCAAAACTTTTCTGACACGTTGGAATGATAACATGTTCTAATTAACATTGTTTTCTCCATTTTCCAATTTCACATTCATATTACTTTTATGTTACACAGACATTATTTCCCTGACTAGTAATACTTTGGAAGAACAATTCTAATGTTCAAAGATAAACTGCCAGGAGAAATTTTTAATATTAGAATGGATCGTGACATCTATGCATTTGCTTTTACAGTCACCGGACTACAAATTGCTGTACAGCACTTCCAAATAAGAATTACTTTGTCTTTCTCATTGTCTTATCAACAACCTACAGATCTATTAATGATCAGTTTTCAAGATGTGAATGGTAGAGTAGGTCAACTATCATTATAATAACCCTGTATATAGTATTAGCCGAATGGCAAATTCTGTATTTTCGATAACATAACTGATTATCAGATGCCTGATTTTTATAATTAACCCAAGGTAAGTAATTAACATTGATTTTTAAAAGCAGTCTTGCAAGATCTTACCTGTGATATTCAGGATTCCCATTTATCTTTGAAAATCTGGAAAGTGATAAATATTTATTCCAGGGCCAGAAAACTCATGGAATTTGTAAAAAACACCAAATCTCTTGGAAATTTTTTTCAGAAACCGTGTGTGTTAATTTGAGCCCACTGATGTGTTGTAGCAGGCCTTTAGGTTAAATAGAGAAATATTATCAGAAAATAGCATGTTAGTGCCAATGAGTATCTAAGTGTTAACATTTTCTTTAGGTATGTTGTTTACTGATAACTGCTTTGATGTCCATGATAATCTCTACACCTATTAAACAATTGTGCATCAACTGCAAAATACATCTGTCTCTATGACATATTCAGAGATCAAAATATTACATTTCCGAGGAATTTAATTTTGCTTGAGGAATTTCATCTTTTCAGTTGACTTTCCTAATTGGGAATGCATGGTACATTTGTAATCCTTTACTACGATCAATGAAAGTGAACAGATTGCATGAATTAAATAAAAAAAACAATTTATGAGGAAATGCAACTTTACATGAGGGAATGTAATATGCTTTATAGGTTTCCCTCGACTGAAGGTAATTGTATTTCATTATTTCTGATATTGGTAACCAGTTGGAGTTAGAATTATACCAAGATAGTGAACTATACGTTTTTTTTTCTCAAAATACTGTAAATGCATATTAATCTTTGCAAGAAAATTTATTTAGTAGGTTGTATTAGAACGGTCTGAATTCAAAACATAATGTCTGGATGGCACTGCACATTCAAACTTGAATAGAAACTCGATTTACAGTTCAGAGATTGGATGAAAGAAGTAAAGGATAAACCTCAAAGAGCTTTCTGTACATCCGGCCAAAAATCATTTGATGTTGGTAATATGAGCATTTCAGCACTAAAAAAAACCACATGAAAGGACAACTGCAAGCCAAAGGAAGGTAGACATGGAATAAAATCTTACATGGTAGAAACCCCTAAAACTACAGAACCACCAGGTGAGATCATCAGCCAGTAATGACCAACAGAGTGGAAAGAATCCCACCATATCTGTATCTGAGACCTCTGTGAATAGTTTTGACATCCTCAAAGTAGAAATTCTATGGGAAATAAAAGTGTTAATGTCACATTATTCATTCAGTTCTTGCAAAGGAATGACAGAATTGTTCAGTACTATGTTTCTTGATAGTGCCATTACTCGGAGTTTCCCATGTTCAGTAATAAAATGTGCTTACCCTACTTGCTTTGGCCAAGCACCTTACTCCAAAGACCAATTGATAGACCAAATCAGGATATCAGACTGTTATGTGATTTCATTTGAGTGCCTCAACAAAGTGTCATAAAGTGGACAGATGGATTTGGTGTGTACTACTTGAGATCAGAGTTGTTGGGACATGCAGCAACTGATGATCTTAAGGTCAGATTCAAATAAGGCCTGAAACTTTTTGGCTCAAAACGAATGCTGAAAGTATCGATAGAGGGTGCAAGTGTTAACTGGAAATTCTTAACAGATCTCAAAGAAGATTGTCAGATTGATCCCTCCATGCCAGACCTTATTGACATTGAATGCTGTGACCTTCATGTCATTCATGGCAGTCTTTAATATGGAGCAGAGGTCACTAGTTAGAAGTTTGGACAGGAATTCTGAGTGTTTTGGCAAATTTTTCATAATACTCCTGCAAGAAGAGAGGGCTTTGTAAAATTAATTGGTAGCTCAGTGTCCCCATTGAAGTTCTGTGCTTATTGATGGGTAGAGGACTTGCCAG